AAAAATCTTGCATGAACTGAAGCAGGTGATCGGCCCTACCAATCTGCGCAAGATACAGCAGAAAGCCCTTCCTATGATCCGCACTGAACAGGGTGAAGTTTGTCGGAGTGCTGCTACAGCCTTGGACACTTGGATCAACTTTTTCATGGTTATGGAGGGTGGCCAGCGACTGGAACCTGCCCAACAACGCCAAGAATGGCTGGACAACCTTGAGCATTTTCAGGCGTCCTCGCTTGATTTGGTCCTGGCCGACCTCCCCAGTCTCTGTGATCTGGAGAGAGCCTATCGGCGAGTTCAGCCTGGAAAGGCGACAGGACCGGATGGTGTTGATGCTCTTTTGTGCCATCTGAGCCCGGCAGATTTCGCCAGAAAGACGTACTCTCTCTTGTTGAAAACATTGACGCACGGGCAAGAATGCCTTCTACACAAAGGTGGGCGCTTGCATCCCTTATGGAAGGGGAAAGGAGCCAAAGACACTTGTGCGGCATATCGCAGCATCTTGGTTTCCTCGCACATCGGGAAAACCATTCATAGGTGCTTGCGTGTCCACTCAGCTGATTTGTTTGAGAAGTATCTTCAAAAGCAACAACTGGGCGGCAAGCGCAAGATTTCGGTTGCCACTGGTGTCCATCAAGCCCGTGCTTATCTTCGATCACGACGTCTACGTGGACTCAATGTTGGACTGATTTTCCTTGATTTGTGTGAAGCTTTCTATCGAATTGTCAGAGAACTGGCGATTGGGGGCCCAGCATGTGATGAGACTATTGCAAGAATGGGTCGCCGTCTTGGCATGGATTCTGACCTTTTGCATGCACTTTATCAGCACCTTGATGAGGAGCACGCTCTTGCCAGAGCTGGGCTGTCGCCACAGATGCAGATGATGGTGAGAGCCCTACATGCTGATACGCATTTCTTTCTTCAAGGCCAAGATGACAGTTGCAAGACGCGCTTGGGCACCCGTCCAGGCGACAGCTGGGCTGATCTCATTTTCAGCTTCCTGTGGGCCCGCCTTTTGCGCGATCTTGAACAAGAATTTCTTGATGCTGGCCTCATTGATCTAGTGCCTGCGGAGGTTGGTCTGAGAAGCCCTTTGCTTCCATGTTCCAATGACACAGATCCCCGCTCTGAGAAGGTGAGTTTTCTAGGGCCGACTTGGATGGACGACAGTGTGTTCTGTCTGGCTGATCCTTCTCCTGATGGCCTTGTGAGAAAAGCTGGGCATCTCTGTGGATTGTTACTCCAAAAGTGCCGGGAATTCGCAATGACACCCAACTTGACTCCTGGCAAGACTGCTGCAATGATCGTCCTTCAAGGACCGGGCTCCGTTGCTGTCAAGAAACGCCTCTTTGGTCCATGTGCCCCCAAGACTCTCCCGGTTATCACTCACGGAGCAAGAAGTCCAACATGTCCACATTGTGACCTCCTACACTCATCTTGGATGTCTTTTACATCACAAAGGCGACATGCGACAAGAAGCAAGACGTCGGTTCAGCATGGCTCAGACTGCCTTCCAACAACACAGAAGGTTGCTGTATCAAAACCGGCACCTTCCCTTGCGTCGCAGGGCTGAATTGTGCCGCACCTTGATTCTCAGCAAATTTGTCTACGGGTGTGAGTCGTGGACTTTATCTGATGCCCGTACCAGACATTTTGTGCACACCTCCCTGATCAAACTTTACCGACGACTTGTTCATCGAGCTCAGGATGACCACATGACTGACGAAGAGATTCTGAAAGTCACTGGCTTACCAGATCCTTCTACATTGTTGAGGATGCAGAGATTGCGGCATTTGGGTGCTCTCTATGCCACTGCAGATTCCTCTGCTTGGGGAGTTCTCAATGAAGACACGGAGTGGACCTCCCTGATTTGCAGCGACCTTGATTGGATGTGGATACAACTGCGAGGTTCATCTGAGCTTCAGGACCCCAAACATCATCTTGCCTCCTGGGCCTACTTGATGGTGCACCATCGTGGTTACTGGAAAAAGCTCATTCTTCGAGCTGGGGCACATGCCGCGGCCCAAAGAGATAACCTCTACGATGTTCAATGTGTTCATCGCAACATCTTGGAGCAGCTTCACATTCATGGTTGCCTTGCCAACCCACCGCCTTTTGAGACCAAGCACTTTCCGGATGAGATTTTTGCCTGTATGGCGTGTGAGAAAAGATTCTCCTCTCGAGGAGGTTGTGGAGCGCACATGTTCAGGGCTCATGGCCTCTGTCAAGCTGTGCGCACTTTGTTTGATGGCACGCAATGCGCTTGCTGCTTGAAGGAATTTCACAGTCATGGCAAACTGCAAGGACATCTTCTCCGCGCAGAGTTTTGTCGACGAAGCTTGCAGCGTAAGGGCCTACATGTTGCACCGGTTCCGGGTATTGGCTCAGTCACCAATGGCCATCTTGAACGTGCTCATGATAGTGTTCTTCCTCCTCTTCAAGCTCATGGTCCGCTTTGTGCGCCTGGGAGACGTGCAGAAGCTGATGACTATGACCTCAACCTTTTTGAAGAGATCTACACAGTGCTTTTGGACGCAACTGGAGTCGAGGACGGGTTTCAAAAGATTAAAACATGTGTTTCTGGCAGGGTTGTCACGTGGGAGCGTTTCCTGCTGACTTTGCATGGTCTACGGGCAGAAGCGACGCCAGCTGACATTGCTGCCCTTCCTTTGGCTGCTGATGAGTTTCATCGACTGCTGCAACGCCTGGAGGATCCAGGAACTTGGCCTTTTCTGATGCAGGACATTGCCACGATGGAGGGGCATTGGAACAGAGAGGTGCACGTTTTGGCCGAGTTTTGCTGTAGCGAAGCGGCAGCATCCAATGACAGCCGACCATCGGCTCCAATTCCTAGGGGATTTGGTCGCGAGCGATACTTCCTGCACCTTTTTTCCGGACGTCGTCGCCGCGGAGACTTCCAGTTCTTCTTTGACCGCTTGCACGATCTTTGCGAGGGCTTTTTGATTCATGTTATTTCCTTGGATGTCGTGCTTAGCAGCACATGGGGAGATTTGCTTCAACCAGCTGCGAGGGCTTTCTGGAGAGACGCCATTCGCCGGCGATTCATTGCTGGCTTGATCGGTGGCCCGCCGTGCGAAACATGGTCACAAGCTCGTGAAAGAGAGGTGGCTACGCATGGCCGCGCACCTCGCGTCCTTCGCACTGCAGAATTTCCATGGGGCAAGGAAGCATTGCGACTCCGAGAGCTGAGGCAGCTGAGTGTCGGGAATTCACTCATGGGTTTTCAATTGGAAGCCGTGGTAGATCTCTACTGTGTAGGTGGCATTGCACTGACGGAACATCCGGCACCTCCCAAAGCCGAGACGTCAGTTTCCATATGGCGCACCCCAATTTTGAAGTTGCTGCTCTGTTTGCCGGGATTTGAACTTCTGCAGTTGGCCCAGGGTTTGTGGGGCGCCAAGTCCCCGAAGCCTACTTCGCTGTTGGTTCTCAATGCTCCTGGCATTCAGCAGGACTTATTGCAGTGGCAGATTGCCAGGGATGTGCCCGTACAGACATCCATTGGCGTCGATCTTGCTGGAGGCTGGTCGACTGCTGCTCTGAAAGAGTACCCGCCAGCACTGAACTGTGCCTTGGCCCAGGGTCTCCACAAGGCAATTCGCCGTTGTGCTGTCGATGAGACAGTACAGATCACGCAGGCCTTTCGTGACACCTGTAGTCCGATGAATTGCAAGGACTTCGGGGGTACGATCGGCCCTGATTTCGCTGGCTAAGGAGTCAGCCGCTTGAATTGGAACTTGCTAGCCGCAGCGTGAAGCTTCTGTGTGCTTGTGCAAAAAAATATATACATATATATATATATACATATATATATATATACAATATATATATATAAATATCCAAATTATTACTCAATTAGGACATCATCAACCAGGTGAATTGATATGAAAGAAGCAAAACATAAACTGTAACTGCTGAATCTAAGTCGCTTGGTTCAGATTCTGGTTGCAGTGGAGTTGCCACTGAAGGCAAGGGCTGGGTGTTCCTGGACCTTTCTTGGCCTGCTGTTTGTGCCGGCTATTTTACCACACCTGTGACTGGGCTGATTATCCTTGATTTGGATATCTGCTTGGCGATAGGGAGGTGAAATGAGGTCAGGATACGTTTTAATTATGAGTCCAAGATAGTCCAAGCGGGGACGTCAGATGTTGACATATTTGGATGCGACTGGCAAGCGGGATTCCGTTTTGCAGGCCCAAGTCCTTTGTGCCCCAGGAACCCTGAACCGCTGTCCTCAACCCAGCCCCACAAGAGGAAAGCGTTGTTGAGACTAATTGAGGACCCGAATTTAGATGATAATGATATAAGAGTGACCTGTTGAAGAAGTGCATTGACAGCTATTTGCGACAGACATTTGCGACAGCCTTGGAGCCGCTTTTGTCAGCAAAAAGGAAGCACTGCCTCGTGACGATGCGGGGCTGTTCCTGGCAGCGTGCCTCCTCGATGTGGCAGAATCTGCGACAGGACTCTACTTCGGAGGTTGCGGTGGGCCCTAATAAGGCCCTAATATGCCCTAATACCTTATGAATCCAGCATGAATCCAGTAATCCAGTATGAACACAGTATGATATTTGTGGTGGTTCGCTTCTGTGGAGAACGCATTTTGCATCATCGGAAAGCTATTCATTCGTTTGCAATCCGAGAAAAGTATTATATAGCAACAGAACTAGTAACTAGATGGCAAAAACATCCAGAAACTGACTAGTTAGAGGATTTAGAGTCATGTCAAGTACACGATGAGCAGATGAACCCTAGAGTTCATTCCTTATTTCCTCATGTTATTCCTCGCAAACCTCAAGGGGTTAAGTAATTATTCCAGATCCTGCATCGATGAAAGCGCCGATGACTTATGGTCTCTTGACAATACATGACTTGAATGACTGGGACAACACGGCTTGGATGCTGCGAGGCTTCAAGAAAAAGGTCACGTCATATGAAACAGTTGGTGCAATGAAACGCTGTTTCCATGAGGACTTGCGACGATGCTGTGCAGCTTGCAACGCTCTGGCTGCAAGTGACTCGGAAAGAAATATAGAATGATATAATAATATAGAATGATATAGAGATATACAAAATTATACAGAGTCTGAAATTCAGCGCCACAGTAGCAACCTCGACTCGTTGATTGTAGCGAGCATTCTGAAGTCATTGGATCCCATAATTCGAATCATGTGCAACAGACCGGGTGAGCAAGAGTCAGTGACAATCTTCACACAACGCCCCTGCACGATGTTGAAAAGGACACAACCGCGAATCTATCCTGGTCCTGCTCCGACTCATTTTGCAGCTTGGCAAAAGGATGCAAAAGGTGACTTGACTTGCTCGGATCCCAAGCTCCATAGTTGTCACATGTTGTCACATCCTATCAGAATCTATCAGAATCTATCAGATCAGTTGCAGGTCGAAGGAGAGCTCTTTTAATTGCATCAGAGATATCAGAGATATCAGAGATCACAGATGATGAACTGCGCCAAGTAGTGAGTTTCTTTCTTTATTTTCTTTCACGCCTGCGTGTCGACTTTGCACAGAAGTGGGCAAGGAACCCTTCCCTTCCTTGGTTGCAGATTCTATTGGTCTCCCCTTTGGTGTAGCATGGTTCAGTCCATCTGCGCCAACGCCAAGATACATCGTCGCTAGTCTAATCCAGAGGGTCTCAACAGAAGCGCATTGATTTCACAAAAACGTGACCAGAAACGATCAAAGGGTGGTGTATGATGGCTGCAACAAAGGCCACAGGTCACTTTGAACATCTTGAACTGAGAATTCGATTGAGCTCCACATCTGACGGTGCTTGCATTCCGCAGGTCATTGGAACCTGCGCTGGCATTGGATGCCCTTCAGCAGTTTACGCATGGCTCCAACTGTGTTGCAAAGGGCCGATGCATCCGGACTACATTTGTCCAATGGAGGCAAATCGCTGAAGCGCTACCTGAATTTGTCCAAAATCAATCAACATCAGCCATGTTCAGCAGGAAAAGGGTTTCGGGATTCGGGACATGTTGACAAATTTTGATCTCAAACGGATGAACTTGCAATGGATGCAACCAGCCAGGCAAGCGTCAGGATGCATCTCGGGTGGTTTGGAGCGCTGTCCTTCCTGCTATACTCTGCACTCAGTGCTTTGGCGTGGCAATTTAAGACTTCCATGAGACGAGCCTAAAATGAAAGCCATTTGGCCGAGGCTGTTGTCAACGGCCCAGGTGTCTATGCTCAAGAGCGATGGCTGTCGGAACACTCCAAGAAGGACTCGGTGAAAGCCAATGCTGCTGTCTTCCTGGTCTGGGGTGTATGGCAAGGCCCTCAGCTTCGCCATGGGATTATTTGGAGTGCGCAATCTGACCCAGACTGAAACCATCTGAAACCATCTGAAACCATCTGAAACCATCTGAAACCAAGCGGGAAGCAGCTAAAACATCTGAAACCTAGGACGTTGTTGGTGCTGACCTATGCAATTTACGCAAATGGCTCTGTGATGATTGCCTACAGCCAGCAGTGGCGCAGACGGCATGGCCGCTTGCGCATAGGTGGAGAAGAAATCAATTCTTGAGTCAAAAAGGAGCTGTCTGCATTTGAGATATTTGAGTCTTTGACATCTTTGACGTCATGTCATTTGAGGCATTTGATGTTGCAAGGCAATGTTGAGGACCTCTCTTTTTGCTGCATCCTAATATATAATAATATATACATTTCAACAACCTTTAGAATCCTTTAGAATCTTTTGACCGTACCATCTTGGGTCGAGATGCCTGACTCTGAAGATTTGTACAAGCTTCTTGATGACTTTTCTTGGGAAAGGGTAACAGGGCAGCCCTGGCTTGTCTCCAGGTAGAATTGGGCTTTGAAGGTTTCCGATCAGTTGCCTGATAGGTGCCTGACTTAGCTGCTACCACCGTAGCTAGTAAATGCACCCAAGATGCTGGGTACACCAGGCTCTTGCAACATAACTCAGAACTATAATCTGGCGTTGCCATACATGCTCAGTGACCTGCAAGCTGAGTACTGCGATGTTTCACGGCCTCTCATAGATGAGCTGGCTCAGTGAAGATTCAGAACTGCAATGCCCACATCTCGCGAGCGCACACTGTTGTTTGTGACAAGAGCAGAACGTTTTTGCAAGTTTGATGAAGCATGTGTACATCTGGTAAGAATGGCTGTGAATGCCTCTGGCTCTGCCAAGAACCTATCCACTTTCAGACGAAAAAAATCGAACACATGCTTGAACTTATTGCATTTCTTTTAAAGGTTTGTTATGTTGTTATGCTTGTTATGATTTGTTGCTGTTTGTTCTTGCAGCGGGCTTTGGGGCTCCAGCTTTGAGCTTCGCTTTGTTTCGAGTGATGACATTCTGGCATGGGTTGGGCACCTCAGAGCCATGCTATGGTTCCAGTTCCAGTTGTTCCGGTTTGCGATTCCTGTGTTGTCTCAGAGTGTCTCAGTCCCAGTTGTTGTTGTTGTTGTTGTTGTTGATGTTTTTGCATGTTGGACAAAGGTGCTGTTGGATCTGCCACTGATGAGTGGGGCATTTGCAGGCATATTGTGAAGTATGTGTGGGGGTTGGGAATTGCCCAGACATGTGGACACATGTGAATGTACAAGATCGTTCAAGATCTTCCAACATTTGCGAAGTGGCCAGTGGGCCGTGTTAGTGCGCAGAATGTGAGCAGCAACAGGCCTTGCGGTCGAGAAGATGTTTGCCGAGAGGCATTCATAGAAGCACGATGAAGCACGACTTTCAAGATCTTTCAAGCCAACTTTAAACTTTCAAGCAGAAGCATTCCAAGATATTTCAAGCAAGTCTATGACCAACAGCAGCAAATTGATTCGGCAGGCGCTTTGGGCTCGTGACGCGAATTCACGCGGTCTCGGGCCTGCTACCTACCGGACCTTTGCCCTTGACCACAGATGTTTCCTCTCCTGATCTCTCCTGCAACGCATTTTTTGTATTTTTGTCATTTTTTGGCAGTAGGTTCTGTTTATATACGCACCATCGCTAGACACATCCAACATGTCTTTCAGGCCCCTCTTGCCTGCCTCTGCGTCCGGCTGGAATTCAGCGTGGTGTGCCTACGTGTTGCAGTCAGAATCCATTGAAAGCAGGAGAAAATGGCAAGATCCAGCCAAGAAATCTAGCAGATTCATCATAGCAACTCGTAGCGTCTAAGCACACATTTTGTGCTGCAGGAGTTAAATGGAAACATACCAATGAACTGAGCATGTCTGAGCTCAGATTAGGACATGAGTCACGATGAGCGACTATTGAACCGCCTTCGGCGTGTTCCGCCGGCCACCATGGAAAGAGCACTATCCTGTAGGCTGCAAACAGCCCTTGCACAGGCCCAGCAAGAACATGGTCCTTGTGTAAAACATGCTGTTTGTGGACAACACAGTTTTTGTGTAAAAAAGCTCTTTGTGTAAAAGATGGTTTGGACGCAAATTAAAACATTGGTTTTATGGTTTTGTTCAAACCATGGTTAAAGTTGAAACGAAAACATGTGTGTAAACCAGGGTTTTGGAAAAGGCAATATTGAGAACGGCTTTGGAAATGGACATATTTAGAAAGGTTATACGTGTGAAAGGTGTTCGGCACAAAAACCAGTGGATCAAGTATTGGATATAAGAAGCGACGGAGCAAACCGATGGCAAACACAACAAAAAAACGGAAACAACCATCGAAACGACAGCAAGATGTGCAAAACCAAGCCGATGTTGAGCGAGGCGTGGGCAGAGTTGAGCCCACCACAACGAAAGGAAAGATCAAGACGAAGCGAAGAAGAGCTGGGTGGGGGGGGGTTCAAGTAGACGAGACAAAAATCCGCACCAAGGGGAAAGTCTAGACAAGACAAAGACAAAACAGACAGTACAACTACGAACAAGCAAGATCCACAAGACACGCCGGCAGGCCGGCGGATTACGATGAGTCATTATAGGTTACAAATTGGTCATGAGTCATGAACATGAATTGAGCCTTCTGAGTTACTGACAAAATCCAAGATGCTCCAAGATGCTGAGGCTACTGAAAGGAGCCCGAGAAGGCGATCCTGTTCTGGTCAGAGAGGCACCTTGGTCCGGCACAGGGTTTCCAGGTCCTGCGATTGAGATTTGGATTTGATCAAAGTTGATCAACGTGTGTCAGCCAAGGTAAATCAACAAAGAGCCATGTTTATCCATGTTTCAATTCTTGATTTCATGTTACTGTAATACGCATTTGTACGATTCTATGCGTTTGTTTATTTTTAAGTTTTTTTTTTTTAAATCAACACATACAAGATAGCCTTAAAAATTATTGAATCTCGTCGTCTTGGAAATACAGTACCGTTCATGAAGCCACAGTTAAGAACCCCAGGCCTTGGATGCGGGAGCTTCGACAGAGACAAGGTGCTTTATTCTTTTTCAAAGACGGCATGCACGGATCAAAGTGTTATTTGGAAGAGGATCGAAGAGGCTTTTTTGGTAGCTGATATCATTCTATCAAATTTGATCCTCCTCCAGGTCTGGGTCTTGCGAATGTGAGTTGTAGTCACTGGTTTGGTTGACAGACAAGAGGACTGTGTTGATATGCATTGCATCACACCTGAAACCGAGCAGACTGAGAAGTTGACGTCGCGGCCGAACTCTCAGACAGGTCTGTGGCCAGCAGCATTGTGAAGAAGGGCTTGGGACACAAGTTTCAGCCCTAGTCCTCTGGGTTTGCTTTGAGTCACACTCTTCAGCAACAATCCACAAACGAAATGAAACAAATACGATCAAATCCGCCTCATTATGGCAAGCACATTAAACAAACCATTTCAGAGCGAGATCTGCCATGGCCGCCATGGCATTTCTGTGACCAAGTTGCATGGGTCTCACCGCCCTCATGCATGCTGCAAGAGGAGGGCATTTGCCAGGAACTTAATGTAAGCATGGAGGCTTTCTTTTGGCATGGAGACACGGGATATGTGAAACAGAATGCACGCATCTTACATCACCTTATTATGGGAATTGAGCAAAAGGTCCTTGTAAAGAATTATCATTGCGAAGACCGTTCATGTTATGTCTTGAACTCTCGCAAAGTATTTTGTTTGCAAAAGAAAACATCATATTTCACGAGTATTTCGCAAAAGTTAGATATCATGGGTCAGAGCATTATTATAAATTATACCCAATATAACTTTTGAGAGATTTTCGCGAAAGGTCCGTGGAAGTTGCGCAAAGGAGGGGGCGAAAGCGAAAGTGCATTTTGAAGGGGATGGCACAGTAAGCGTTACAATATCTTATAATTGATATGAATTAAATTAAAATTTTTCCCCTTAGGCAACAATCTTTCGCGGGAAGGGGTTCTGTGATGCTAGCTGCATGTTTGCAAGGCTAGCCTGGAGTAATCATAATAGTCTACGAGTCTACAATGTACTTGGGTTAGGTCGTCTTGTCCTGCAGAAAGTCGTCTGGATGTGGCGTGCAGCTGGGCACTTTGATTTTTCAGCATTGACAACACATGTAATGATTGCGAAGCTTTATTTTTGTGGCGAGCTCTGCGATTACCTAATGGGTTTTTGGCAGGCCTGGGCTGGGGGTTTAGTTTGGGACTCGCGCGGCACTCGCGCTGATTCACGCAGCACTCGCAGGAAAATCATTGTTTCAAACTCTCTTGGGAAGATCCTCTACTATAGCGTTCACATGGTGTTTTCTATTTTTCCGGGTGACTTTCCACAAGCCGGGTGATTTACCACTAACGTAGCGTGCCCATGCGGGAGGATGACTTACTACGACCCCGGGTGACTTAACCCCAACACTTGTAGCAGGTAGTGACTGAGTCTGCATAGAAGGCATTGTTGCTCCATATGGCTCCCAGGAAAGATAAGTGAGTCGCGAAAGTAGATTATTTTGCGAAGAATGGTCGTTCCCGGATGAGCGAATTTGGATCAACCAACATGTAACCGGAACTTTATACTGATTGTTACCAGTAGCAGATACACATGGATAGACAGAATGTGAGTATCTATTAGATTCGCAAGACAATGATTAAATTGATTAAATGATTGAAGAGTCATTGGACGGACACATCAGTGTGATATGCTACAGGTTCTCAGTGTAGATCTCTCAAACCGTGGAGATGTTTTCATTAAGGACATGTGTGATGGCACTGATCGACTCCCGCGCCTCCCTAGATGCGGAAGATGAGGTGCTAGGGGTCTGCCTGAAATTGAAGAGCCGAAGCTACAGGCACCATTTGAATCCATTTGAGGTATAGCGTATATATATATACATGTATATATACAGTATATATACCTACATATATTTGCGAATATTGTATAATATCCACTACAAGAGTATACTGCAACATCATGGATAAATACATGAGTAACCGGCAGAATTAGCAGAAAACTAAAGTAGTAGGGAGTGGACTTGGGATGGAAACCTTCAAAACCGATAGGGGACCACCCACTTACCGATACCCTATGTTTACACATCGCATGGAAGTACAAACCTTTTTAATTGATAGGGGACCCCTCACTTTGGCCATGTCCATTGCGAGTAGTTTGTAATTTTGCCCGCCGCTCACATGAATACATGTGATCACATGTGTACATATACACATTCATATATGCACACACACAATATTCATATTACACAATGGATGAATTCTTTAAACACATTGCCTTACTGCAGTAAACTGTGCATTTTGTCACTTACCATTCTGCAATGACGTGCGCATCTTTATCTTTACGGACTTTTTTTAATCCGTTGAAGAAGAAGGATACACCATCAAACAATCATATCTCAGATTTTGTGATGGCGTTTCCCCCCTTAGAATTGCTAGCAACACATTTTTGTTGCCATCATTTTTTCATGTATGAAACAGTGAAACAGTCGAAAATATTGAGTTTCCACAGGACAGGGATGTTGATTTCATTTCATTTGTCACTGGTAATTCGCAGGCTTTTAGCATATCTCCTTTGTTGGCAACTGTGGTGCTTTAAACATTGTAGCGGGGCCAACTTTGCACTACACCCCACACCGCCTCACCCCACCTCACCCCGCCCCACCCCACCCCTGCGTCGCAACAAGTGTGTGTTAGAAGTTATATACATGAGCAAGTGACGTTATCAACGCGCAAGATACAAGAACGTTGTTCCACCCCCCCGCCCCACCCCACCCCAGAATTTCCTCCGGTCGGGGAGCCCCTCGCCCTAGGGATCCCTACTATAGGTTATTTAGTAATAATAGTAATAGTAATAATGATAATAATAATAGTAATAATAATAGTAATAAAAACAATAATAATAATTATTATTAATAATAATTATTATTATCAATAATAATAATTATTATTAATAACAATTATTTTTAATAATAATAATTATTATTATTAATAATAATAATTATTATTAATAACAATTATTATTATTAATAATAATAATATATATATGTATATATTCATATACATACATATATATAATATAATATAATATAATATAATATAATATTGATAATAATAATATTGATAATAATAATAATATTGATAATAATAGTAATAATAATAGTAATAACAATAATAATAATAATAATAATAATAATAATAATAATAATATATGTATATATATATATATGTATACACACATGCATACATGTATATCATACCACATAGGTTATCTTGTGCATTATAACATATTCTGATGATCCATAATGATCGTTGCTGCAGAACCATAAGCCACCATGCCCCATCATGTGCCGTTGCTGTGCGCTCTTTGTCTTACATGCGTGACACACACACACACACAAACTGCCAAACATGGATAACCGTTGCTTCGAGACAGGTTGGTGCAACACCTCTTCACTATGCGGCGCTGAGTGGTGACCTGTATGTCTTCGAGGCCGTCGTTGAGACAGAGACATCTACAATCTACAGACACTGGCCTTGGAGCCCATGACATGCCCTGCAGCATCCGCAGCGCTGCGTCACTGTCCAAACTGCTTGAGGCACTAATTCTTGCTGGGGCTGATGCATCAATCAAAGACTCGATGCAAAAAACTGCTCTTGCCATCCTGCCATGTATTGACTGGAGCCAGTTCGGTTGCACAATATGCTGGACGCGCCTGTATGCCCTCCAGCATGTGATGACAGGACTATTTACCACCTCATATACAGGAGGACCCAGACCTGCTCATTTTTTCTGATGATGTTGCATTATGTGGTATTGTTAGAGTGGTTGAGGGATTATAGCAAAAAAGGGATCACCAATGTAACAGATCTAGTGTGCGATACTCAATCAATTTGAGGCACCCCGATTTGCTGTTTCCCTCAAATTTAGGGACGAAATGAACGGCCGGCTCACGGCTCTAGACCTCGCAAGACCTCCTCAGGCGGCATGAAGTTGCATCTTAATGAAATTGAGTTGTCAATTGACCATTGATGGATGCAATTTTGCAAACCAAGAAAGGGACATCTTGATCAACGCGCGTTGGGATCTCTCGTTTGTTTGCTGGTCTCGGTAGAGGACCCAAACCTGCAGCAAAGTCCGCTCCTTAGACACCCAAGCCATGATTCATTTGCGCAGCTTGCTTGGGACCTGCGGTTCAAGTAGCCAAACAAGAAGAAGGAGTCCTTTGACATCCTTTTACAGTGTTGAAGTTTTTATTCAAAGTGCGTAAGGTTGGAGAGCTGTGCTTCGGCATGAGTTGCACTATGGTGTCTGACCTCTCGGTAAAGTAGCTCTCATCGCCGCCTTGCTGGCCATTTGTACTGGCGCCAGCTGGTTGCGGTGCTGAAACCAGGTGCCGTGAGACATAGCTGTGCGCCACAACCGCCAAAGATGCTGGAACAAAATGGAACAAAGGAGCGGCCCAGTGTGGTTGTAGGGAAGCTGGAAGCGGCGCGACAATGGCGACGTTTGGCGCACGTTCGCTTGCTATCAAATCTGCCCCTGACACCAATACCGCCATATACCGCCATGCACCATGACCTCGTTTGGCTACACTGCGAAGAGACTTTTGCAGGCAAGTTTTACCACTCATAAACAAGAAACAAGTAACACGTGCTTACTCGTGTTGGCGCCATGCTTCTGTCGCCCGAATTTGTTTGCAGGCATGTCTGCAAGCCTCACCTCTGTGTTGACCTGCAACACACTTTGAGTGGTAGATTTTTTTTTTTTCTCTCTCTCTCTCTCTCCTGTACTCTTGCGCAGACATCACGCTTTGCAGTCAAACTCAAGTGCGAACAACAGTTTCTGTCTCTCAATGCCAAAATCCAAATGGAACAAATGCAAGTGACTGACATCAATGAAATTTCCCTCAACCTGCCTTCACACGAATGAGGCACAGCTGCGTCTCCAGTCCACGAGGCAACAAGTCCAGAAGCCGCAAAAGTCCTGCTTGGTGACACATTCCACGCAAAAACCAACAAAAAACAACAAAAACCAACAAAAACCAATAGCCAGCAAGTAGATAGTGGTCCACAGGACTGACATAGTTCAGGAGAAGGATAAGCCCACCAGTCCAGCGCAAAAGTTTGAGGACTCCACAGCCATCATAGCAAAACCAAAAACGTAGTCCAGGAGGTTCTCGAAGGATAGGGGACGAAGACGGAGTCGAAGATCTCCACGTCATAGTCCAGAGCGTTCTTGGTGATCACAGTATACAGCTCCTCCACAGTGCTCAGGGTGTAGTCACAGACGTTCACATAGTCCACGTTTCCAACTCATTGCCACGACCGCACCACCTTGTGCAGCAACTGGCCTGGTAAGTCCAACTGGGGTCCATCTCTTTTCTTAGTCTTATTATGTCTACTTTATGTCTTATTTCTTCCATTTTCTTCCTCTCATGCCTCTAGTGCGCGTTAAACTGAAGTTGAATTGTTTCGGTTTCTTCTATTTTTTGGTTGACATGCAGATAGCTAGGGTCTACACTTGGTTCATCCCTGGCATTGCTGCTAGAGATTTTAGGCTCACCCCTTCCACAACGTTTCGATGGTTCACGTGGCTGGTCAACTTGACTGCATGGAAATCCAAGTAGTTCCAAGTGACAAAGTTGTTGCAAACGCACGGTACTGATCGGTACTGTATCATCCAAAAAGTCTATACGTAAATGACACCTATGGAACTAACATCACTTGCACTCACGCAACCATGGTTTCCTTTCCTATTTCTCCCTCTGGCAAAACCGCTTGCGACTGCTCACACCTTTGGACCAAGTTTCGCAGTTGGGGTAATGGTCTTCGTTTAGTGCGTTATGCATTTTCCATTGCCATGCGTTCCAAAGTCAAGCATTCAAACGCCGTGCCTGTTGCTCCCCCAAGCTCATTGCCTCAACCATCACATTCACTGGGCATGGCCAGCGGCATCAGCGCCAATCCAAACCTGTGCAGTCTCACAAACGCCATGCGCTTCAACGAAAGTTTGTGTAGTTTTCAGCTAGAAGCAACTCAGTTCCAGAGCTCTGCTGCCATAAGGAAAAAGATTCACCCGTTCTCTTTGCTCCTCCAGATTTGAGCCACGATTTGTGGCGTGTCATCCTGCGCAGCGGTTCATGCAAGATCGCCGATAAGAACAGATACTGCACGTTCACAGCTGTCGCTGTGCTAGTAATATTTCAAACAAAAACTTTGGCGAATTGAAAGTGAACGTGGCGATCACGCAGTATCCAACAATTGGGGGGAAAATGCTTTGGATGCTTGTTGCATATGATATTGCCGTCCTTGGCCTCTAGTTTTTCTTCCCAAGCGCACCTGTTTTGCAGAAGGTCGAGGCTTGATGCTTGGCGCCTGTTTTATACTTACCAGGTTCCAGCTGTGCTTTGGGGATGCTTTACTGGGCGGGCAAAAATCTAGGGCACGACCATTGCTTGGATTTGCTACTGTAGGTTTGTTGGGCGTGAGCGAAGAAACGTTTTTCTTTTCGTTGGCGCCGAGTTTAATGCGAACATTAGCGATATCGATCCACATGGTGTTGACAATTTGGGGCTGGTGGGACCTACGAAATGCGAGGGCATTGCGGCATGGAACTTGGTTGACTGGAAAGAAGAGCGTTGCACCTTTTGAACAGCCGCGAAGCAAACAACATCCCTGACAGTTGGACCTGTCAACATGCCATAGGTTCGATGGCGGTGTGGTTGGATTTCATATTTTGTCTATGTCATGATGCCATGTCTGGGCAAAAGCAGAACCTGAAACCCCACTTTAGACAGTCGGGGGTTCGCTTGAAGCGCCGAAAAGTGGATCGCTTAGAGCGCCTGAAAGTGGATCGCTTGGAACGCCGAAAATTGACATAAGAGATACATAGCGCTAGAGTTGCACAATATATATATATATATGTATATATATATATATGTATATATATATGTATATATATATATGTATATATATATATATATACATAAAGACACATAAATGGATGCATTATCATATGTCGCTGAAGCACGGAGGTAGTCACATGGGCAGATGCACGCAGATCACGAAAGGTAGCTCCAGAGGGGCTACCTTGAGTTTTACTTTACGAAGTAAAGGGGAGGGCGGCCAGCCCCGTTACCTGATTCTTCAGGAGATTGCTAGTCATTTTAGTACCCCCCCCCCAACTGTTTTTGTTTCGACCTAATACCTACATAGGTACATGCATGAGTATTGAGCACATTTATATGCGCCCTTCAAGGCTCAAGAGGTATATAGAGTAACCCTGTAGACAAGCACAGACCGGCAACAGGCTGAGTAAAACAAGTGCTGTCATTGGGGAAGACGCCTTAGCTGATCTTGAAGTAGACGCTAGGGCCCCTCTTCAAGTGGTAGCGGAGCTGTGATCCCTCATTGAGGGTGAGCTCCAGGTAGAGCCCAAGAAATGGCAAGCCATGGCTATGATGATGATGACTTCGACATTGTCGATGCAAATGAATGGAACCAATATGACTCTTATGCAATGAGAAGAGCACCCCAGCAAACACAGATTCATATGACGCAACAGATGACCACAAAGGTTGCTCCAGCCTATGATGGGCGAACCAGCTTCTTTGCTTTTGAGGATGCAATTGATGACTGGTGTGACATTACGGAATTAGAACCAGAGAAACGTGGTCCAGCATTGCGCAACAGACTGGAAGGAGATGCTCAACAATACAAGAGGCTATTGGATAGAGAATTACTCGGGGATCCCTATGAAGGAGTGGCTTATTTTAAAAGATTTCTACGACCTCATTTCATCAAAGGTGCCCAGAACGTGTTCTTATACCGTTTCATGCAGTTCATGAAGTTCAACAGAGGAACCATGGATCTTCAGAAGTGGATGACTAGATTTCAACTCACTGGCAATAGACTTATTGAGTCTTGGATGGATTTACTTCCAGAAGTAACAGTGACTAGTCCTGAAGCAATCCTGTTTGTTCAACAACGACGTCAAGAACATGAACGAGATCAACAAGAGAGAGCTGAAGTAGCAGCAGCCTCAGGAACACCCCATGTAGCTGTTCCTTGGACAGATGAACTGGCACTAGCGGCATTCAGACTATTTCAGGAAAATCGTAGAGAAGCACAGCGACAAGCATTCCCACTGGGTGAAAATTTGCTAGCATTGATTTTTGTAAGTCTAGCTGACCTGAGTCAAGATCAAAGAAACACACTCACAAGTATCATGACACATCGTGGACGAACTCTCGATCGATACAGCATTCAAGAACTACGTGACCTGTTCTTGGAAATGTTTTGCACTACCAAAACAGCAGTTGACAATCCATTGATGCAACCCTCTGGCATGGCACAGAGAAGATCTTTCCTCGTACTGGATGAAGGTGAATTAGAAGGAACCGACGGCTATTGGGCCGAAGATGAAGAAGACGGCGCAGAAGGATTCCTGGATGCTTTAGAAGATGTTTTCTGGGTTTATGATGACGCCAACTTCACATGGTATCAGAGAAGGTTCCAAGGCAAATACATCAGACGAGGCAAAGGTAAAGGAAAGAGAAAAGGAAAAGGAAAAGGCAGAGGAGGACGAAGATTCTTCAGATCAAGAAAAGGAAAAGGCCGAGGAAAAGGAAGAAAGAAAGGCCGCTCTCACATGGTGAGTGAAGAAGGTTATGAAGATGAATGGCAAGATGATGAATGGAATGAAAACTATGACGGCTATTGGGCCGATGATCAAACCTGGAATGAAGGCTATTGGGCCTATGATGATTCATACTACATGGATGAGTATGGATATTTCCAGAGGAAAGGAAAAGGAAAAGGAAAAGGAAAGAAAGGCAAGA